CCGATCGCGAGGTTGCCTCCGCTAAAAGATTGACCAATTTGGAGGCAGCCTTGAACTACAAAACTGAAGATCTTGCTGCTGTCGGGGTGAAATATGCCCAATTGGAGGAGAAGTATAAGAAGATCATTGAGAAACTATCCGCGAACTCGACATTAACCTCAAGTCTATTAGATCCGCCCGGGAAAACCTTTCTGTCTAGGTTGACCAACTTAAAGAAGAACTCAAGCGCCGAGCGGTTTCCCTCATTGTTGAAGAAATATATGTTATGTACAACATAAGGAGAAAAACCTTGGAAGAGGCTAAAGCGAGTGTCATTGACTTCGATGCCGAAATCGCTAAATCCCGTGAGCTGGAATCAGCTGCTAAAAGGGGTCTCCCGGCAAGGCCTGATGCTTCCGGTTCTTCTAGTTTCGGTTTCGAATCCTTGGAAAATGAAGAGGAACCGAAGGGCGAAGATGTTGAAGGCCAAACTGATGAGGGCCAAGGTATTGAGCCAGTGGCAGATCTACACACTTCCCCTGGGGGCACGAATGCTTCTCTTTCTCCGGGTTCCAAAGATGCAGCAGTTTAGCTTTTCATTTCTTATCCCAACTTTTGTACGTGTGTCGTTTTGGCATATTTATTGTGAATAAAAACATATTTTGCTCAAGTATTGCATGAGTCTTACTGCGTTCTTTTGTTTGAACATTTATGCAAGTTTTAATCTTTGCATTCTCTCTTGCTTAAGTGTTTTGCGCAAATTTTACTGTTTGCGTCTGATCATGCAAGGCTTTGGGTGTATTTTTCCCTAAAAACATTTGGATATCGGGCACAAATTCTTCTGAAATCAACCCTTTATCGTGAGGGTTTTTATAAGAGAGGGCCCTCTTATGTTTACGGTGCTCTTGAAGAGGACGTCTCCTGTTCATTATGGCACTAGCATTTGAAGTACTTGTTTAACTTTCAAATGACAAAATCAATTCATCGTTCAGATAAGAAACAAGATAGAAATAAAAGGAATTTACTTTATTCCTTCCATTTTCAAAAAGTACATAAGCATTCGTTATGCTAAAAAGAAATTTCCATTCATTGTGGCTAACTTGTATAACTTGTTTCTATGAGGCTGGCCGCGTAGTCCCCGGTCCCGATGATACAACTATATTTTTGGTTTTTGTATTCCGTTCAACGTGGTAGTCATTGTTGTCGTATCCTCATATCATTCCCTCCAGTGTTCGAATGCGAAGAATGCGAATTTGAACACTGAAAGTTTTGCACCTTCGAGGACTCTACAAATGAATTGCTAGATAATCTTCAGTTCGGTAACAAACTTCACTTCCCCTAAGGAATTTATGCTATCAAGCCAAAGACTATCTAACAATCCTCTAGTGGTTTGCACTTGTGAACGGTCGGGTAACCTTTGCTCGATAGCAAACTTAATTTCCCGGTGAAAATTTTGCTACCGAGCCAAAGATTATCTAACCGCTCTGGAGTGGTTCTTCGCTTGTGTGCCTTGCTATTAAAAGGTCTTATTGCTGCTGTTGAAACCTTATTTGTAGTATGCTTTCCATTGCTGTCTTGTTAAAAACCTTACCAGAAAAACCCAATTGGGACAAAAACTGGACGAAGGGAAAAATAGTGCAGCACATACTTTCAGTACAGGTCATGTTCATCAGCAATAATATCTCTTAAGGTGTACCACATTCCAGTTGCTTGGCAACTTTTCTCCATTTTGATTCTCCAACTCGTATGAACCTTTCCCGGTGACAGCTGAAACCCAGTAGGGCCTTTCCATGTTGGACCTAGCTACCATGCGTTGAGTTCCCAGGTATTTTGAGTTACTTTCCTTAGAACCAAGTCTCCCACTTTGAAATAACGGAGGTTGGCTCTTCGATTATAATATCTTTCTGCCATCCTTATATGCGCCAAGTCCTTGTGCTCATCTAGTAACTCTAAGTTGACTAACATTGCTTCGTTGTTTGCCTCTTCACTTGCCTGGAAATATATCAAGGTAGGTTCCCCTACTTCTATTGGGATTAAGGCTTCTGCTCCGTACACAAGGAAGAAAGGAGTTTCTCTTGTGCTCAATTTGGTCATTGTTCGTTACGCCCATAGCACTCCAGGCAGTTCCTCAGGCCATTTACCTTTAGCTGCTTCCAATCGCTTTTTGAGATTTTGTATAATCACTTTGTTCATTGATTCCTCTTGACCATTTGCGCTCGGATAATAGGGCGAGGATGTGATTCTTTTGATTTTCAAGTCTTCAAGGAACTTTGTGATCTTTGCGCCTATAAATCATGGCCCGTTATCGCAAGCTATCTCTTTTGGTATTCCAAATCTGCAAATTATGTCCTCCCATAAGAAATCCACCACTTCACGTTCACCGATCTTCTAATAAGGACCTGCTTCAACCCACTTAGAAAAATAGTCAGTCAAAATCAAAAGAAATCTTACCATGCTAGTGGCTGGTGATAGTGGTCCGACGATATCTATTCCCCACTTCATGAACGGCCAAGAAGACAGAACCCACTGCAACAGTTCTGCTGGTTGATGTACCAGTGGTGCGTAGCATTGACACTTATCGCATATTTGTATGAAAGCTTTGGCGTCTTGTTCCATTCGGGGCCAATAGTATCCTGCCCTTACCAATTTAAGTATCAAGGTGTCTGCGCCCGAATGATTTCCACATATCCCTTCGTGGACTTCTCGCATAACATAATTAGCTTTGGAAGATCCCAAGCATTGGGCCAGCGGGCCTTGGAAAGATTTTCTGTATAGTTGACCTCTTTTAAAGCTAGATCGTGCTGCTTTGGCGCGCAATGGGATACCTTGGAGTCTTCGGGAAACTTCCCTTGTTCGAGATAATCAATGATCTAATTACTCTAGTCCCACACCAAATTTGTTGTATTCATCTCATAGTAACTATCTGTGCCCAGAACTGAGTGCATGAGCTGTACTACCGTCTCGGAATCTGATCCCTTCATTTTCATTTATGAACCAAGGTTAGCTAATGCATCCGCTTCTGCAATTTCTTCCCTCGGGATATGCATAATTGACCACTCTTGGAACCGAGCAAGCACAACCTGAACCTTCACTACGTATTATTGCATGTGCTCCTCTTTGGTTTCGAATATTCCATAGACCTGATTTACCACCAGCTGGGAGTCGCATTTGATTTCTATGACCTCGGAATCTAGTCCCCGGGCCAATTCGAGTGTTGCAATCAAAGCTTCATACTCTGCTTCGTTGTTAGCCAAAGGGACCATTCTTATGGCCTGCCTTAGGGTTTCTCCTGAAAGCATGGTTAATACTATGCCAAGCCCGGACCCCTTTACGTTGGAAGCTCCCTCCGTAAATAGGGTCCAAACTCCCGATGTCTATTCTGACACCATCACTACTTCTTTGGTTTCCAGAGGTAGAAATACCGGACTTAAATCGGCCACAAAGTCATCCAAAACATGTGACTTAATTGCATTCCTAGGTTTATATTCTATGTCAAATTCACTCATTTCGATAGCCCATTTGGCCAACCTACCAGAGAGTTCGGGTTTATGGAGGATATTTAGCTGGGGAAAGGTGGTCACCACAGCTTTCGAGTGACATTGGAAGTAAGGCCTCAGCTTCCGAACGGTGACTACAAGAGCTAAGGCCAGCTTCTCTAGATGCGGGTAACGAGTTTCTGCTCCTGTTAAAATTCTACTAACGTAATAAATAGGAGATTGCGTACCTTCATCCTCGCGAACTAAAACGACGCTTACCGCAACCTCTAAGATTGCTAGGTAGATTAACAATTTTTCACCTTCCTCCGGCTTTGACAATAACTGAGGGCTTGATAAGTACCTTTTCAAATCCCTCAAAGCTTGCTGGCATTCCGGGGTCCATTCGAAGTTGTTCTTTTTAGCAACGCAAAGAAATGGTGGCGTTTTTCTAATGACCGGGAAATGAACCTGCTCAAAGCGGCCAATCTCCCTGTGAGCCTTTGAACCTCTTTTACGCTTGATAGCTGGTCCGGGATGTCTTCAATGTATTTGATCTTATAGGGGTTTACCTAAATCCCCCTTTATGACACCAGAAATCGTAGGAACTTACCGGAACTGACCCCGAACGCGCTCTTCTCGGGGTTAAGCTTCATGTTATGCTTCCTTAGGATGTCGGAAGTTTCTTGCAAATGCTTAAGATGATCACCTGCGTTCAAATACTTAACAAGTATATTGTCTATATAAACTTCCATGGTTTTCCTTATCTGTTAATTATTAGGGTTTTGTTAATTATTAGTGTTTTAGGTTTATAAGCAAAAAGTTAATTAGGGTTTTAGTTAAAAATGGCATTAGCTAGTGAGGATAAGGAAATGAGAATGCAAGGGTCATTAGGGTATCATTCACTTGATCAAAACTTAGATCAAGGTAACTACCACCACCACCACCACCATCAACCCAACAACAATAATCTTCAACCACAACAAGATCATGAAAAATCATCCTCGAGTGCAGCTCCAGTTGTACCATATTCTAGTGGCGGATCTACTAATAATAAATTTAAAATAACATCACGAGCAAGGTATCGTGAATGTCTGAAGAATCATGCGGCCAGCATTGGTGGTAATGTTACTGACGGATATGGTGAGTTTATGCCTTATGGAGAGGAAGGAACGCTCGAGGCGTTGAAATGTGCTTCTTATAATTGCCACCGTAATTTTCACAGAAAAGAACAACCAAATGTTGGTGCTGATAATAATAATAATGCTGGTATTATGGTTGTACATCCGCTTTAGCTTCCTCAACCATTGCCTTCTCCGCTGCCGTCGATGAACCATCAGCATCAACACGGCCGCTCAGTTTGGAGTACTATGCCACCTCAGCCTGTCAAAATGGCCTTCGGAGGTAATGTTGAATTGTGTGATCGTTTCTTAAAATTGTTACAAAAGTTTCCAACAATTTTAAGAAACGATCACACAATTCAACATTACCTCCGAAGGCCATTTTGACAGGCTGAGGTGGCATAGCACTCCAAACTGAGAGGCCGTGTTAATGGTGATGGTTCATCGACGGCAGCGGAGAAGGCAGCGGTTGAGAAAGCTGAAGCGGATGTACAACCATAATACCAGCATTATTATTATTATCAGCACCAACATTTGGTTGTTCTTTTCTGTGAAAATTACGGTGGCAATTACAAGCAGCACATTTCAATGCCTCGAGCGTTCCTTCTTCTCCACAAGGCATAAACTCACCACATCCGTCAGTAACATTACCACCAATGCTGGCCGCATGATTCTTCAGGCATTCACGATACCTTGCTCGTGATGTTATTTTAAATTTATTATTAGTAGATCCGCCACTGGAATATGGTACAACTGGAGCTGCACCCGAGGATGATTTTTCATGATCTTGTTGTGGCTGAAGATTATTATTGTTGGGTTGATGGTGGTGGTGGTGGTGGTGGTTACCTTGATCTAAGTTTTGATCAAGTGAATGATACCCTAATGACCCTTGCATTCTCATTTCCTTATCCTCACCAGCTAATGCCATTTTTAACTAAAACCCTAATTAACTTTTTGCTTATAAACCTAAAACACTAATAATTAACAAAACCCTAATAATCATTGTGCGGTAGCAATAATCCGTTTACATCTTCCTCCGTGGAAGTGGTCCTCAGCAACTTCCCATAGCCTCTTGCCGTGGGTTACTGTTACCTTCATATTTTTTGCTACCGAGAAGGTAACCCCATTAATCTCGTTCCCCCCGAAAATTATGTTTATCGTCTGGCGCGGGGGGTCTTCTCCTTTTATTGAGGGCTCCGCGTTATCACGATTGTGGCCGTAATTATTTTTGGCCCGGTCACTTAAGAATTCCCTAAGATGGCCATTTTCAGTAGTGTCGCCACCTATTCACGCAGATATTTGCAGTCCCTAGTTCGGTGGCCGTTCATCCCGTGGTATTCACACCATAAATTCAGATCCCTCTAGCTGGGATCGGACCTAGTCAGCTTCGGGATCCAAGCTTCATTAATGTTCCTCATAGCCTATACCAACTCTACTACACTGAAGTTGAAGTTGTATTCTGAAAGTCTGGGATATGAAGTATCTCGGGAATCTGTTGCTTTCTTGTCCTCTAGCGATCAGTTGTTTCGGCAGCGATCAGTTCTTCTGTGGGTAATGAACTTGTCTACCAACCAAAAACCTATGATGCGTCCTTCTGCCCATTCGTAGGGCAAAAATCGCCCCCTTCAAGACCGTCTGTCTATGTCGAAATCATCTTTTGATTTTTCTTTATTCTTCTCCCGACCTTTAGCTGACGTCGGGAAGCCGAGTTGATCATCCTCAATCCTTATCTTTGACGCATACCAGTTGTGAACATCCACCACAAGTCGCTGCTTAGAATTCGAGCAAGCTTTTCTTCAACTTCCGGGAAGCATCAGAACATCTCGGATTCAAACCCTTGGTGAATGCTTCAGCTGCCTTTTCATCCGGAACAACTAGGAGCAACATCCTTTCCTTATGGAACCGGGTTACGAATTCTCGCAGCTACTCGGACTCTTCTTGTGCAATTATGAATATGTCGGCCTTCCAGACTTACACCTTTCTGGCCCTGGCATGAGCCTTAATGAAAGAATCCGCGAGCATCTCAAAGGAATCTATGGAATGCTCGGGTAATAGCGAATACCACGTCAAGACTCCCCTTGTGAGAGTCTCTCCGAATTTTTTCAGCAAAACAAATTCGATCTCGTGGAGAGCTAAATCATTCCCCTTCACTGCCATTGCATAGGTGGTAATATGCTCATAAGGGTCCGAAGTCCCATCATATTTCAGAACGTCAGGAATTTTAAACCACTTTGGGATCAATTCTGGGGCCCGCGCTTGGTTTGTACGGCAACTGAGTATACTTCTTTGAGTCTGGCCCTTTCAGCACCGGTGGTGCACCCGATATTTGGTCTATGTGGGCGTTCACTTCCCTCGTAAATCGTATGAGTTCACTTTTGAAGGGATCGTTCTCGTTGTTGTGACCGGATANGGGAGCACTGGGAGGAACTGGGCCTCGTCCATTCGCATTATTGGAAGCACCCGATAACGTCTGCTTTAATTCTGTCATAACATTATCATGCCGTGTGAGATGGCCTAGAATGACCTCTTGTTGCTCATGCAGGACCCTTACCGCTTCAACAAAATACTCCTCTTCAGCATCATCAGGAGTCGCCTCTTGAACATGTTGCGGGTATCGCCTACCGTGGACCGGTGTGGCATCGTTCCCCTCATTGCGGGTATCACTGATTGAATCCTCGTGCTGAAGGCTGGTCTCCTTGGGCCTCGAGATTGTGTGTGTTGTTAACATCATTACCTACCATTTTCTGAGATTTTTTGCTAAGAACAAATAATCAAAATACGTTTGTAAAAAAGGCAAGGACCAACTTAATACCACGACTGTCTAAGCCCCACGGTGGGCCCCAAACTATTTACCCGTAAAATGGTACACTTTAAGGGACACGTATGCAATACTCTTCAAGGTATTTAATATTGAACTTTCCAATATCACTATATTGAACTTTCCAATATCACTATGTATCCTCCATTATATCATAGTGGTGAGCACCCTCCACTTCCAACCAAGAGGTTGTGAGTTCGAGTCACCCCAAGAGCAAGGTGGGGAGTTCTTGGAGGGAAGGAGTCGAGGGTCTATCAGAAACATCCTCTCTACCCCAAGGTAGGGGTAAGGCCTGCGTACACACTACCCTCTCCAGACCTCACTAGTAGGATTATACTGAATTGTTGTTGTTGTTGTAGTATTCTCCATTTTATCATAACTTTTGCCCTAATTTGTTCCCTGTTAAAGGGACACATATGCAATACTCTTCAAGGTAAAATATATAGATAAAAGTTCACTTTTCAAAGCAAAATAATGTCATAGTTCCAACGCATCATCAAGTCCGATTAGGAATCAAATTCCTCCACCAATTTCAATTTGGACACGACAGTGTTATCTTACGCCGCCTTTGTGCAGCTGATCCCACATCGAATAATTCTACAAAAGGTCGTCCATTGATGCCTATATATATATCGCACACCTTTCTTTGCAAACATCAATTGACAGCGTTTGCCGATCGCGTTGAGTAGGCCTTTGACGCGTAAGTGCCCAAGGTAATTTCTTCTTCTATACATATATGTATCTATTTCTTTTTCTCTTTTTAGGCCATTTCTTTTTCTCTTTTTAGGCCAAACAAGAAGGATAAATCCATGACGGCATGTAGATGATCAAATCCACAATAACATACAAGAGGATAAATCCCTCACAACATATAGATGGAAAATCCACATTGTCATATAGACGGATAAATCCATATCAACATATAGACGGATAAATCCATATCAACATATAGACGGATAAATTCATACCAACATATAGACGGATAAATCCATATCAACATATAGACGGATAAATCCACACCAACATATAGACGGATAAATCCATATCAACATATAGACGGATAAATCCACACCAACATATAGACGGATAAATCTCCACCAACATATAGATGGACAAAACTACATCACCATATAGACGGACAAATCCACATCAGCATATAGACGGACAAATCTAAATATATAAACGGACAAATCCATATCAACATATAGACGGATAAATCCACACCAATATATAGACGGAAAAATCCCCATCACCATATAGACGGACAAATCCACACTATATAGATGGTCAAATCTATATCACTATATAGACGGATTAAATCCATATCAACATATAGACGGACAAATCTCCATCACTATATAGACAGACAAATTCACATATGCATATAGACGTACAAATCCATATCACCATATAGACGGACAAATCCATATTACCATATAGAAGGACAAATTCTCAACGGCATATAGAAGGATCAACTCGCAACAAGACTGGCTTAAGGTACAAAGGAACTTAAATGTCCATCTTAAACTTGGAAAATTACAGATCCTTTTAAGGGCAAACCCACGAAGAGGCCAACTTAAGGTGCAAAGGGACTTAAACGTCCACCTTAATATTGAAAAATTATAGTTCCTTTTAAAACAAACTCGTGAATAGGCCAACTTAAGGTGCAAAGGGACTTGAACGTCCACCTTAAGATTGAAAAGCATAGTTCCTTTTAAGGACAAATCCGCGAAGAGGCCAGCTTAAGACGCAAAGGGATTTAAACATTCACCTTAAGATTGGAAAATTATAGTTCCTTTTAAGGACAAACCGTAAAGAAACCAACTTAAGGTGCAAAGGGATTTAAACGCCCACCTTAAGATTGAAGAATTAGAAAGCCTCAACCTATGCAGACCTCAACTTGAAGACCGACAAACTTGATGATTTGACGGACTTGAAGATTTGGCGGACTTTGACATGTCAACTTGAAGAGCGATGGACTTTAAACTTCAACTTGAAGAATTAGCAGACTTGAAGACTTCAACTTAAAAAATTGGAGTGATTAAACAACTTAACTTGAAGAATTGGAGGGATTGAATACTTCAACTTAAAGACTTGCAGACTTCAACTTGAAGGACGGTGGACTTGAAGACCAACAAACTTGAAGGTTTGTCGAACATGAAGACATAGCGAATCCCCAGACTTCAATGCAAATACTTGGCATCCTCCTAAAAGTCGTCCCATTGAAGATACCAATTTACCATGGAGGACTGCCCCCTTTAAATCAAATGAGATCCAAAGTTTCACAGAAGAATAGTGTTTTAGCTTGATTTTACATTCCTTCATACTTCACTCGGACAATAATTGGGGCAATATGTATCTTTTGAACTTATGCGACTGAACTTAGAATGAAACTCTAAGCATCCTACGTACCTTGGTGAAGAGGATCAAGTCATACCGTAGTTCAAAATGGGTTATTTTGTTTTTAATGTCCTAACTTTTGCCTAGGCCGCCTCTTTCGAGGTTTTTAACCTAGCGGACTTTTTCTATTTTTGGCCGTACATAGTTTATACTCTAGTGCCTGGAGTAACATGCAGTTTATGCTCTTGCGTTAAGGAGCATAACGACTTGTAGTTTAACCTCGCATTTTGAGGAGTTATGCAACTTGAAGATTTTGCTCAAACTTGAAGAGCATTACAGCTTGAAAATTTAGCTCAAATATTTAGAGCTTCATGACATGCAGTTTAGGCTCGTGCCTCCAGGAGCGTTGCAACTTGAAGATTTTTCTCAAATTTTAAGAGCTTCATGACATGTAGTTTAGGCTCGTGTGTCCAGGAACATTGTAACTTGAAGCTCAAATTTGAAGAGCTTCATGACATGCAGTTTAGGCTCGTGTGTCCAGGAGCGTAGTAATTTGAAGATTTAGCTCAAATTTGAAGAGCTTTGCAACTTGAAGTCTTTGCTTGACTTTGAAGAGATTTCGATTTGAGTCTTCGCTCGAATTTGAAGAGCTTTGTAACTTGAACACTTTGCTCGAATTTGAAGAACTTTACAATTTGAAGACTTTGCTCAAATTTGAAGAGCTTTGCGACTTGAATACTTTGCCCAAATTTGAAAATCTTTACAACTTG